TTGCAAGGAGGGGCTCCTGGCAGTCGCTGGGCTACTTCCCAGTGTGAGGCTGCACCAAGCAGCACAGTGATGAGCAATGCCCGCCAGAAGTCCCAACCTGACTCCAGCTCCGGAGCTTTGAAGGATGACTGCCCCTTCCTAAGACTGGAGTTTATGTGGTCAGCTTTGCTACAGGAGCTGAGCACCCACACATAGCCCAGAGTCCAGGACAGTACAGTCAAGACAGAGAGGAGGCCGGAGGAGGGGTGGGGACTCTGCTGTCTGGATCCTGACCTCCACAGACATATACAATTGAACACATCCCTCGGGAAATGGGGGCTTAGCCTTTGGAGCTGGGAAAACCCTGACTGGCTGGGCATGTGTTTACAAGGGAAGCTGAGTCAGACCCGGCTATCTTCTGAAATGTCCAGCTATTTCTAGAATCTAATACCATCACGTCAAAGCCAGCGGCCTCTTTCCTCTTCCCAGGAAATCCCTGGCAGAGAGAGAGAGCAGAAGGCCAGCCCCTTTTTGAATACTAAACCCAAAGAGTTGATGTCCATTTATGGACTAGAAGCCCCCTCCCCCGTTAAGATGACTCATTCTCCCAGTTTGTCCTAAATGCCTCAGACAGGATGGGGAGAATTTTGAGGTGGGAATAGCCCAGGGAGGGAGCAGAACGCTGGAGAAGGAAGATTAAGGAGGTGTTCAGATCCAAAAGGAGATAGAGAAAGTTTGTGTCTCCAGCTACCTGCACTGTGGTTCCAGTTCCTCCCGAGGCTATCAACTGAGCACTTGTCAAACTTGTCAGTGGGGCCAGAGTTCGTGCCCCTTTTCCATCCTTTTCTGGGCAGCAGACTATGAGCAGCCTACCCAGGGGCCTGAACCAGAGAATTCTGAGTACAGAGGTGACCAAAGACGACCGGAAATTATTCAGCCCCAGCCTCTGTACAGTAACACCTGGCCCCACTGTAGGGACCCAGTCAGGCAGAGCCAGGGCGACATTCCTAAAGTTCTTAGGGAGACCATGAAAACCTTTGCTATGGTGGGGCTTTCAGGCCTGAGTGTAAGGATGCCCTCCCGTCCATGAGAGAGAGAGCCTACCAAGGTTTAATGAGAGAATGTGGATGCTGACTGTGTCTCCAGCTCTGCACTGCCAGCCTCCCCAGAATCACAACAGGCAAGCTTGGGAGGCAGTTCAACTTTGGAAAGATCTGCCTACTTTCTTACCTCCTGTACCTAGCAGTCCACACACCCCGCCCCACTCCACCCCAGCCCAAGATCATCTCCCTCCTGCAATCCTTCCCTGCCCAAGCTAATGGACAGTCTGCCCTTATTCTTAGCTTCTCTCTTTCACATCCTGAATGTCTTCTGTCAGGAAATCTTGTCGGTTTCCCCTTCAGAATATGCCCCCGACAGCTTCCCATTTCTGTGCTGCTGCAACTCCAGTCCAAGCCCCACTATCTCCTCTCAAAACTGGTCTCCTGCTAGGTCCCCATCAAGCCTGACACTGCTGGCCTCAGCAAGAAGCTAGGCTCTGTTTATCTGTTTTTATTGGGGGGTGTGTCTGCACCCACGTGTGTGTGAGTGGATGTACTTGGCCATAGCTCACAAGTGGAGGTCAGAGGACAAGATGAGAGAGTCATTTCTCTCCTTTCTACCTTGTGGACCCTGGGGATCCTACTCAAGCAGTCTGGATCAGTGGCAAACGCCTTTACTTGCTAAGTCATCTTGACTGCCAGAAAGACTCCAGGAAAAAGAAAAAAAAAAAAAAGTCTGTTAGGTCACTTCAGTCTTTTGCTCAGCATCTCCCAAAGACGCTCTGTTTCCCCCAGAATAAAAGCCACAGCCTCAGAACGGCCCACAAGGTGCCCTAGCTTTCCCTCCTGTGGCTTCTCTTGACTCTTCTTCCTGCTAGTCTTCCATTCGCTTTGCTCCAGCCTTGATATCTATTCTGAAATGTAGTTCCATCAGGGCACAGATTGTTGTCAGTTTTGTTCACTAATGTATCCCTAATGCTGGGCGTGGTGGAGGATTGCTCTGTATACCACCAGGCTAACCTGGGCTACAGAGTGAGACCCTGCCTCAGGAAACAAACAAACAAGCAAACAAACAAAAAACCAAAACACAAACGTACTAGAAGACCCTTAGTAAATTAAAAGGGAGGGGGAGTTTTTGTTGAGATCCCAGAGATGGAACCTAGGGTCTAGCCTGTGCCAGGCAAGCATTGTATAACTGATGTATATATAGCTCCAGTTCCAATAACCACTTGCTAATCAATTGAGTGGCTGAATGAATGGGACAGACACACTATATAAGAGATTAGCCAGCCAAAATCTTGCACTAGGAGGCCCAGCAGAGGCTTTGGTCTTGCCTTTGCTCCCGATCTTGGTCTATACCTCCATCCTCGTTTCCAGAAAGTCAGCCTGCCATCTACTATGTGGTTCCCAGCCCTTCCCCTCTGTTAAAAGAAATACTCATGCCACTTAGCCAAATCTTTGCCCTGGATCCATCTTGTCCCTCATAGAACAAGATTGCTGATAGAGTTCGGATTTTCACTCCCGGAGCTGAAATCTGTATGTGTTCTTCTGGGGGAGCAGGGTCTGCTGCTTCCCACACATCCAGCTCAACTGTTCCCCTCTGACTCCCCTCCCACCCTTTGAGAAGGCCCAAGGCAGCTAGTTGGATAGGGCAGAGGGAGACGGAAGGGTCATCTGGGTCTTGAGCCAGGGAGCCAGGCCAATGTCTCATGGGAGTTTCCCTCCCACAGCCCTGGCCCACGAGGGGGTGTCCACTCAGGAACATCAAGATCCTGCCTGTGCTTCAGGAAAGGCCAGGGACAGGGAGCATTCAGAAGGCCTTTGTGATCTCCTAGAGCTGCCTCCCCCATCTTTGTCTAGGTTGTTCACATTCCGGAAGCACTGATGTGGCACTAAATATTCCTGCAGCTCCAGCCTTGTCCCCTGGGGCCCTGGCGTCATCGCTGAGCCTGCTTTTTGGAATGCTTTTGGTATGAAGTGTCCTGGCAGGTGAAGGGAAGGTCTGTGTAGAGGGAATCCACAGCCCAAGTCTAGATTTTTTGGGGGCCTCCCCACATCCACCCCCTCATCCTATCCATGACCCAGGGAATTAAACAGACCATAGGAAACCCAAGCTCCCACCACCACCCCAGAAGCCCATCAGGTCCAGCTCCTACCGAGACAGTAAGGTGCTGTGTCCTCTCTGGCCCTCATCCCACACCTAGATTTCCTAATAGGTACAACCTTCTCCATGGTCTCCCCCTTTCCTTTTGCCCTCCCACCCCCACCCCACATCTTCCCCATTTCCTTCTTGGGTCTTGTGGAGACCAAGGGAGGGCACTTCGAGGAGAGGAAATTTCTTCAGATCTTGTGCCTGGCCAAAAGCATAGCATGTAACGGATGCTCCCTGGTGTGCACAGCTCGGTTCATTCCTATTCATCCAGCCACTCTAGCTCCCTGTCCTCCCAAGGTGTGACTTTTCACAGATCTGAGTCTGAAGTTTGGGTTCCTACAATCTGAGTCTGAAGTTTGGGCTCCCACAATGCACGTTAATGTATCAAATGTCTGTTTCTTCTCAAAACGACAATAAATAATACCAGATCGGCAAGGGTGTAACAGAGCTATTGAGAGCACAGAACCGGACTCTATGTGTGAAGAACCTAAGGCAGGACAGGAGGGTGCTACAAGCCTGATGCTGGTACTGGCACGGGAGGATAAGGAGTCATGCTGAGACCTTATCATGGATAAACAAGAATTGGGGCTAGCAGCTCAGTGATACGATGTTTGTCTAACATAGCTCCAAGTTTGATCCCAAACATCAAAACCAAATAAATAAAATAAAGATAAGCGTACTGCCTCCCAGGGTACACTTCTTTCTTTCATCTAAACTTCTCATCAGTGTTTAATCCTCTTGTGTACCCATGTACTGCCTGCCCACAGCCTGACTACAAGTTGTCTGCCACACTTCAGCACACCCAGGACTCACTGCAGGGGAAGGCCCAGCCTGTGTTCTTCTGGTGTTTACTCAAGCCTAGCCCAGTCCTGGGACCTCAGGCACATCTGCTGTCACTCAAGCAGTGTGTGTGTGTGTGTGTGTGTGTGTGTGTGTGTGTGTGTG